TCTGGCTGGGCTCCAACTTTGCTACAGCTGGGACTACATGTGGACTGTGGGTTGTGTATCTATGTTTCATAGCAACCACTGACATGTTTTATTAGCTCTTTTCTGGTGAATCATGGGAAATCCCGAGTAATGTTAGAGCAGTATGACAGTGGAACCAATTATCTCAGGAGGTGGTGAGTCCTCCAATTCTGGAGGCATTCAAGAGAAAAATTAGACAACCTTACTTTGAAAGATCTTTCTTTCTTTACTCGTAGCAGAGTGCTGCACAATGTAAAATTATGGGCATATATGAAATATAGATAAAATTAAAAACAAATTAAAATGTTGATATAATTAAATTATTTTTAATTTGAAGTGGTACATTTGGTGGCCCTCCAGATGTTGTTAGATTACCATTTATTTATTTATTTATTTATTTACACATGGTGAGGAATAAGTTGCATGCTTTAAGTGCTACATTGGTTGAATTTGCCCAGAGTCACAGAAATTTTGTCCTGTGTCCAGATATCCCCGTTTTACTTGATTATACTTTCATTTTCTTACTTTGCTTTGAAGTCTTATCACGTATCTTTCAGATGACTCTGAAATACTACTTTGGCAAGGATCTTGTGACATTTTAAATACGAACAGTTTATACATCCAGATGAACAGTAGTAAAATGTTTGAAGTACTGTATCATTTCAGGTTAAAGGGGAAAAGTCTGGTTATGATGATTCATGCATATATTCCAGTTTTCCTCCCATGAGTTCAGAGTGGCACGTGTGCTCCTTTCCCCCACAATATATTCACAACAATAGCATGAGGAAAGTCAGGCTGGAAGAGAGAGTGACTGGCTCAGTCAATTTCATGGCTCAGTGGGGACTAAAACCTGTATTTCTTAAGGTTCCAGCCTAGCACTCTAACCACTACTCAACACTGGTTCACTAATTTTTGTTCAGGTTTATTTTATATGTTCAAACTATTTCTGCCCCCTTCCATATGGTGCAGCATCACAACTGCAGGTCAAATATATCCTGAGTTTCAAGACTTCTGATGAGTAGAAAAGGCACTGTAATGGACTGAACTCTTGGGAGCTGCCATTCTGGAAAGCTGAGTCTTTTTCCGAATGGCAGAACAGCTTGTTCTGTTCTTCTTTGCATTCGCTCTTCAGCAACCCTGCATGATGGAGAATGCTGCCCTGTTCTAGCAACAGACCATTTGGCTTCTCAAACCTCACTCATTTGGCTTTCCACAGCTGAAGGATATTCCAGTTTCACTGAATAGAAACGAGAAGCAAAATATAAGAGAAAATGCAGCATTTATAATCAAGAAGAAAACACATTCATATTCAATTTACCATTTACTCTTTCTGAGAGCTTCTGGTAGAATTTTGTTCACTGTTTTGTCTCCTCTGAATGCATTTGGTTTGTGTGCTTTCATGTAGCCAGCCCTAAGAGATCTGAAAACAGACCATAGCAAAATGTATATGAAAGAAATATAGCAGAGCAGAACAATGAGCTGCCTGCAAAATATGGAGAAGCATCCAGGGGCTTATTTACGCAACGTTCTGGGATGCAGGACAGTGGCTGAAGAACAACTGCTTCAAACCCTATAACATGGCCATTTAGTCTGTGTGAAACTGATTCCTCAGCCCCGCTTAGGATTTGGGCTTTGTTTTGTTTTTTCACATATTGAAAAGAGATTGAACAAGAATACTGTAGTTAGTGACACATAGATGGAAGTAGAAAAATTCTTCGAACAGAATGTACACCACCTGACTGGACTGGATACCACACCATGTGGAGCAGGATGGGGCTGACAGACGCTTGAGGTAAGCACGGTCACTTGAGGTCAGCTCCTGCTAAGAGGCCCACCTAAGCTCCTTGAGTTTGCAGACAGCCTGACTTCTCTCTTCCTCTAAGATAGGAGAATAGCATACATACATGATGATGAGGAGCTGCTGGACTTTGGGAAGACTGATTTCAAAGAGCTCAGAGAGGAAAGCTTCCCTACATTACGCAGTTAATAGCAATTGGACACCGGTGTCAAGAGGTCATCATCTAGAATCTTGGGCTCTGTAATTGGGCAAGGTACATAGGATGCTATGCTGCAGTTCAGAGAGTAAAGATAATTCTATGATGCAACCATGCCTGTTGAAGTGGTATCAAGCTTGAAGGGAGCCTTGTGGCACTGTGGTAAACTGCAGTACTGTACCACAGTCAAAACTCTGCTCATGATCTGTGTTCAATCCCAACGTGCTCAGGTAGCCAGCTCAAAGTTGACTCAGCCTTCTATCGTTCTGAGATTGATAAATTGAGTACTCAGCTCACCCGGGGGGTGGGGGAGTGTAGCCTGCACAATTTAAAAAATTGTAAACCACTGAAAGAGTGTTTAAGTGCTATGCAACGGTATATAAGAAGCACACTTTGCTATCACACTGCTATAACTATGTAGTATGGAAACACTAGGTAGGGTTAGAATGAAAGAAACTGGCATCCAAATAGAATAGGAATTAAAAGAAAAAAAACTCTTCTGCAAATTTGTAAGGGGAAAAGGGTGTGTTTGACTTAATGGTCTGCCAGTTCCACCATACATTCTATATAAGAGAAAGCAAAATAAGATCTGGACTGGCAACCAGGAAAATAATAATGTATAATGTGTTTAATATCTTTGTTGATCATAAGCAGATACAGCAGCAGTGTCATGTCATAGTTCCCTGGTGAAGCTCGTGGATTGTAGCGACTCAGCCACACAAAGTGTGCTGTTTATATACCACCCCCTAGTGCTCAAAATGCTTTCTGGGTAGTTAACAATTTAATTATATAGGCTGCCCCCACCCAGTGAGCTGGATACTCAGTTTACTGAACTTGGAAGGATGGAAGGCTGAGTCTACCTTGAACCAGCTCTCCGAGTCCCTCAGGATTGAACTGAGGTCCTCTGACTGCAGTCTTGACTGCCCTACAGCAGTTTAAGCACTGCACCATGAAGTAAGGATTGGTGAGGCAGGAGGAAGTTGATTGAAACTGTATCAGTCTCCACATCCCAATCTCCCAGACTTAGCAGTGCTCCAGGGGGTCTAAAAAAAGAAAAGAATTCCTAAGACTAGGCAGTGAAGAGCCAGCACACCAACCTTGTGAGGTGGCTGCCACCACTCCCACACAAACACCCAAAAACCCTATAGCTGGTTGAGAGAAGGACTGATTTTAGTACCATGACCCTCTCAACCAAAAATCCAGACAGTTGCTTGAGAAGACTTTTGTGGTATACCATTAAAGAATTAATTGATAAAGAAAAAAGTCAAAAAGACAAAAGGGGAAAAGCTCCAAACGGTTGCAAGAAAATATTTTTCAAAATACAGGAAAAAAATATGAAGACAGACTTTAAATGACATTCAAGAAGAAAACAGAGAAGAAGAAAACAAACCAGAAAATAATAAAAGATAATCTATGCTTTTATAGTCATGTAAAAGGACTTTGAAAAAAAGTTTTTTTCCTTTGAAGTATTCTGGAACATGAGAGAAGCTGAAGGTGTGAATTGTCCTTTTACATGCCATAGGGCCTGGCGTGCTCTGGTCCATGGGGTCACAAAGAGTCAGACACGACTAAACAACAACAACAAAACAACAATCTATATTATCTAATACTTACACCTTAGAGAGACAGCATAGTTCTGGGACATGCACAGGGTGCATTGTCCTGGGAAGGCTTTGAAGGATGATCAGCAAAACTAGTTTTCTCCTTAAAGTCAAACTAAGTCCCTTCTAGGCATAGGAACAGCAGGGAGGCAAAGCACTTTTCTCCTTCAGAGACCTTCTAGACTAACTAGTTTTTCTTAATCTTTTTTTATACAAGTAAGTGGGCCATTACAATCTGTTGCCAACAACACCTTAATTCCTGTTCATGTACTTTCAAGACAAAAAGCACATCTATAACTAATTCCCTCTTCCTCCCACAAAATCTGAATAACTCTCTGAAAACGAATTGAACTGACGCTTTTTAAGTCAAGAGTTATAGTTAGGATGTGTTAGAGTCCTTGTGGGGTACTTTTGCTATGCCCTGTGATAAATGATAAGCATGTAATCAAGCTTTTGAGAGTAGATCCTTGGTCTAGATAGGCGGGATAAAAATCTAATAAATAAATAAATGCATAATCATGTATTCCTCGCTCAGTTTTTTTTCTTTCTTTGAAGTACTCTGGAACATGAGAGAAGCAGGTTTTGGTTATGTATGAGAAGCAAGTGCCTAATGCTACAGTTGTCTGACAGTGAAGCAGACTGCCTTAGGGTGTGGTGGTGCTCTCCTTGGATCTGAGTGTTCAACCAGACAGTGGAGGTGACCTTTCAGAAATGTTGTACTTGCACAGGTGAGCACGTAGTTAAGCCAGAGGACTTCCATAACCCAAGTCTCTAATTCTATGCCAGCTTGTTCATTTGTCCTGTTCTCGGCAGTTAGAGAATGGGTGGAGGATGAGGGTAGCAAGGACTAGAGACTTAGGTTTGGCACCTCATCGTTTAGCTCCTAATGACCTGGGGGACAGAGCTGGGGAAAGTTGCCTTTTCTGAGGCTACAGTTCTCAGAAAACGTGTTCCAGTGTGGCCCGTTGCCATACTGAATGGAGCATTCTGAAAGTAATATTGCAAAGAAAAGAAAAGATTATTCCAAGCCCCAGAGCACACAAATGCAGAGACTGTTGTGGTGGGCGCCAGACACTGAAATGATAGTAATTTTCTTTCTACTGTCTTCTATAAATCCCCTGAACTGCACAGTGCTGTTCTTGATTTTTCTTTCATACAGAATAGCACATGGTTTTTATGAACGTGAGCCTTATCTTCAGACACTGCCAGTTTATCTTTTTCATTTCATTTCTCTCTTGTACTTTTGTTTCTCATGTAATTCTCTGTTATACTGTATGTTTCTATCCAAACATGCACTTATAGATCATAAAAATGCAACAGAAGCAGAGAATTTCATAAATACATTGTTTATTTATTATTACACAATGTAAGAAAGATGTTACGGATGACAAAACCTAAATCTAGATTTTCCTTACATTGGTCCAAATGCTCTTGAGAATGTTTTATTACTGAACATGTGAGGATACCCTGAAAGTAACAGCATACCCCTCCAACCTCAAAACACCAACAGCTGCTGGAAAAGTAATGATAATAACAAAGTGCAAATGAAGTATTCCCGTGTCTCTCAAACATATCTTTCAGCAGATCTTGAAAAAGTTGTTTCTTTGGACTGCAATTCCAAGAGACTCTCAACCAATATAATTGCCGTGCATTTTGGGAGTAGCAGTCCAAATAGCAACACCTCCAAGTTCTCTTCTGTAGGACATCCTCAGTTAAAGGAAGTACACTTGAGAAATAAGATTCTTGCAACAATGGTGCTACACGATGTGGTGGGAAAAGGAAAGGCTACTGGTGGCCCGCTTGGGGAACCATACTAAGTACTGTATGCAGCCTGAGGTATATGCTATGGCTGTTTTGCTAAAGTAAAGTTGGCGTCCTTGCGGCAACCATCCAACAGAATGTAAGAGGCTGACTACATGGGCTATTTAGCCTGCTGTTTGGAGCACTGGAGGGATGTTGTGTTCTTAAAGATGATGATTAGATGATAGATTTGCTATAGCACAACAACCCACTTCTACAGCATTCCTACCCACACCTTCCTGGCTATTGTCAAGGGGCTTCTACTTTTTTGGTGCAGGTAGGATCCTTCTGGTTTGGATTCCAGCATGTGAGATAACTAAAACTGGTTCAAACCAAGCCTTCCTCTTTCAATTTGCCAATACTGTGAAATGGCTTAATTAGCAAGCCACTTCAGGATACTGACTTTCCCTGCTTGGCCAGAGGGTAGGGGAAGTGAAAAAAACATTTTTGTTGACTGTATGTGGACTATCGCTGATGCACTATATCAGTTAGATTTTTTTTTCTTTTCTTTCTCTTAAAGAGCTGGTTGGGAAACGGCTCACAGTCAAAATCCATGATAGTGGAATTTTTAAAAAAGTTTGACACTTATGGAAGCACCAACACGATTTCTGTGTGTATTTATAAAGGTTAAAATGAAACCTGGCCTTCACATTGTGAGCTGCCAGTCCGTGATCCTGAAAGGAATGATTGTACCATTAACAGCTGGACAAGTGAGATAAGATGGGACTGATAGATTCCACCCTGTCATAAGACTGGGGTGCTAGCAGAAGCCACTTGCAATGAATTTGACTCATCTGGAGTCTGCTTTGGAGGAGGCTGTGTGGTGCACCTGCAATCTGTTTGCAACATACACACTGTGTCAAGGCGATGTTTCTTTATCTGTATGAAATTAATGTGAGGCTGACTTGACAGGATGTTCATTTTATGCCCATCTGTCCAATTCTAGTATTTTTACCACTGTGTGTAGTTATTAAAAGAATGAAATCTTTTCCTGCTGGTTTTCTGACAGAGATGCCTTCAGCCTCTGGTTCAATGCCTCCAGTAAATAACAAGTCAATCACTTCCTGAGGCAATCTGCTCCAAAGTCAAACAGCTCTTACTTGGAGCATGAAAGTACAGTAATGAATACAAGTAATGCAAAAAAAGAGAAAAAGATGCAAGGGGTTATTTTAAAAATCCAAAATCAAGAGCAAGGAATACTTTTAGTGGACCACTAAAATCTCAAAAACAGGTTTGCTCTCAAAGCTAGCCTGCTTCTGAGATTTTAGTGATCTAAAAAGGGCAGTATCCATTCTTGTTTTTGGAGTTTACAAGTAATGCAATTATGGGGGGATGTAACTAGGGCTGAATTGAGTCACATTTGAAAAGCAATTACCCTAACAGGGAATCAAGTCATTTTACTGGGGTAACAAGCAACGGTTTCCTTTTCAAAAGGCATTTTTAGCAGCATTTAGATGGAAATTTTTCAGATTTTATGTCATTTTCTTATTGGTTCTAAGGATTTTTTAAATGAAAAAGTAATAGGCAATGCACTGAGGTTTTTTAAATACTTTGTAGCAATAGCAAATTACTTTAAAACACCATCCTTATCAATGGGAATAACTTTTAAAAATAAACTTTTCAAAGTCTGTTTTCACTGATAGAAAACTGCTCCTAAAGTTCAGCAGAGATTTACATCCACACAATTGCAGAATTTGGTCCTAAGTACTGCAGTTACCGCTTGACTACTACTATGCATGGTGTCCTCAGGTCAAAACATGATAAGAAATTAAAACAAAAAACAAAACTTTTTAATGGAATAACTCAGTATTACCTGATTTCAGATGAAGTTTGCCTATTTCTTAATTTTATAATCAAAACTATCCTTCTCCTGAATGCAAAGTATTAAATAGCCTAGAAGCATATTTCCAAACCAGAAGCAAACACCACCCTCTAGCAAGTGATGTAATTCTTCGCGGCTACCAAACACAGCAGGTTTGTTGAAGTAGCACATACATTTACTGTAATTATTTTTCTAAAATAAAACAAGCTCATCAGACAATGTGGCTGAGTATATTCAAGAAAACATAGAAGTAAATTTTAGCAACACTTTTGAACACTAGTTTGTATTAGCTTTGTGGATTTTCTTAAGTTATTACATTACATTGTGGAACTATAATAAAGTCTTTAAAAGGTCAGGATAACACCTTCAATGAACCAAGAAATCTATTCTGAAGAATATAATGGCACATTTGAAGAAAGCAATTAAAAAGTCCTGATGCTTTGGGCTCAATAAATGGTAGGTAAGCAATATATTTAAGGTTCAATTTTAATATCTGTTTCATCTTCCGAATGGGCTAGGAAAACACCATAACACCATTAAAGAAAGGTGCCAATTTCTAGGCTCAGAGATGAAAAGCACAATAAATAAAAGGGAAATGAGGCACTCAAAAGAGAAAGAAAAATCAAAGTGAACATTAAAAGTCACATCTTTTATGACTAGACATCCTCTGAGGCAAATACTGCATGCCTTAACCTCCCCCACATGTTCAGAGTTTGAGAAAACTGTTATCTCATCCCTAATATCCTCCCTTCAATTTCTTTTCATGAAGAAAGGTCTGAAAAAGCAGAGTGCTGCGAGGAAATGCTGCAGACTTCCAAATTAGTGAAGGAGCTCCCAGCATCACTGGTATATTCTGGGTAGGTGGAACTGGAAGAGATTATGTTCTTCAGCCTCTGAAGTGCAATGATCAACAGCAAAAGAAGAAATGCCAGGAGGCTGAGGAATATTGAAATGTATATATAAACATTAGACATGCGCCCAGAGGAAGAGTCCATGGATGTTGAGAGAGATGTGGGGTACAGCTCCAGAAAAGTTCCATTTTCCATATCTGTTAATCCAGATGTGGGATTAAGTTCTGACATTTTAAATAAAATTATGGCTCTAGTGTGTCATAAAATGGAAGAGTTCTAGTAGTCAAAGGCAGCTTTCTGTAAAATGGTTCCCATATTGAGCCACCTTGTCAGCCACTTTCCTGATCAGAATGAATCCAAACTGTGTTCTCTTTTGATGCTGTAAATAGATAAAAAGAAGGAATTAATTGCTAAACATTTAAAGCACTATGTTTAATAGTTCATTTCTACTTAGTTCATTTCTAAAACTCTTCATTGATCTAACAATAAAAGGAATAAAGTCCAATGATTTCTGTGTCGTGTTTGGTCTTTCTAAGTGATAACAAATCTTGTCACATATGATTTTAAATGTATACTCTACATTTCATAGTTGGCAGTTACACTGATCAGCCACAACATTAAAGCCATCTGTGTAATATCATGTAGGTCCGTCTTGTGCTGCCAAAACAGCTCTGATGCATTGAAGCATCGACTCCATGGAACAGATTTAGTGTTCTAGCACATCCCATAGATGCTCAATTGGCTTGAGATCTGGGGAATTTGAACTCTTCCTCATGTTCCTCAAACCATTCCTCAGCAATTTTAGCAATATGGCAGGCTGCATTATCCTGCTGAAAGAGGCCACTGCCATCAGGGAACACCATTGTGCGGTATCCCTGGTCTGCAACAATCTCTAGGTAGGTGGCCCTTGTCAAAGTCACTTAGATCTTTTCACTTGCCCATATTTCCTGCTTCCAACATATGAAATTCAAGAACAGACTGTTCACTTGCTGCCTAATATATCCCACCCGTTGACATGCGCCATTCTAATGATATACCCTGTTTCCCTGAAAATAAGCCCTAACCTGAAAATAAGCCCTAGTATGATTTTTCAGGATGCTCATAAAATAAGCCCTACCCCAGTTAAGTGAAACCCCACCTCCCCATTGTACAGCATCCAGAAGAAGATGATATGACTGTATTTGAATGAACGTAGATTGCTGTACATGAAAAAATAAAACATCCCCTAAAAATAAGCCTTAATACGTTTTTGGAGCAAATATTAATATAAGACCCTGTCTTATTTTGGGGGAAACATGGTAATCAATCCTATTCACTTCACCTGCCAGTGGTTTTAATGTTGTGGTTGAGCAGTGTATCTGCCAAGTTGAGAAACCAAGTATCAAAACTTTAATTTGCATCCTCTTCTGACTCTTGAAAGAGGCTTATGTTCAAAGCTGTTTGTTGAACTCCACAACTTTATACCAAGTTTGTGCATTTCTGTTACATTCACAAATACAGATCTGCTACTCAAGCAGAAGTTCCTTCTCATTTCTGGTGTGTTTACCAATAGCCCTTCAAGGCATTTTTTTTACTTACTTACCAGCAAATGTCTATATATTATGCACCATCTGCTGGATAGATCGGTTGTTTGGGTATCTAGCTTTCAGGCCAGAGGTTCAGAGTTTAATTCCCCATTAAGTCAAGGAGTCAAGCCTCCTTGACTTGATGATGCATAGAGTTCCTTCCAGCACTGCAGTTCTAAGATGTTGATGATTTACGAAGTCAAAAGTTTGCTATAACATTCAGTGGAGGAGTCACAGATTATCACCTGTAAACTAGACCATTGATTTATTAAAGTTCTGTATTTTGGGGGAAATTTTTGGGGAAACCAAAGTCTGAAACTAATATTTTTAACATATTGAATTTCAGATGGGGGAAAAAATAGGGCCCAATGGCTAAAATCCAGTACTGAGTAGCCAGAAGAGTTGGCTCACTGAATCCATGGGGATTTGGTGAGTCAACACTTTGTAAGTTCTATTGATTCAACGGCGTACTCAGTTCAAACTTTCTACTGGATTTTAGCAAATAAATCCTGAAACAGAGCTTAGAGGTTGCCTTTTGATCCAGATAAAAATCTAGGCAAGGAATGGAAATTTCGCGAAGGGTTTGACGGCCGGGATCTAATGGTTGTTGTGGGTCCACAAGGACTCAATCCCATTCAGGCCCATTGCAAGTGCCATCAGCTCCCCAACAGATGAATTAGCCAAACACCTAGCGACCCGCCTATAGACCCACGTCTATCCTATCAAACTTCATCCTACATCAAAGACTCAGGACATTTCATAAGCAAGATCAGCATCCTATAACTCAACCCTGGGGACAGACTGATCAGCTTTGATGTAGTATCCCTGTTCACTAAAGTACTGATAAAGGACACCCTGACACACATCCAGCAGATATTTCCAGAAGACATCAAGGCCCTCTTCCAACACTGCCTGACCAGCTATTTCCAGTGGGATAATGAATTCTATGAACAGACAGATGGAGTGGCCATGGGGAGCCCCCTCAGCCCGGTTATAGCAAACTTCTACATGGAGCATTTCAAAAAACTTGCCCTGGCTTCAGCACCCCTCGCACCCACAGTCTGGTTCCGATATGTGGATGACACCTTTGCAACTGGAGCCACGGTGAAGAAAAATTGGAAGAATTTCTCAACCATCTCAACAGCATCCACCCAAATATACAATTCACCATGGAAAAAGAAATAGAGGGCCAACTCCCATTCTTAGATGTCATGGTCCTACGCAAAACTGACCTCCGACTGGGACACAAGGCCTACAGAAAACCCACCCACACAGACCGGTACCTACACAAAAACTCCAACCACCACCCACAGGAAAAAGAGGCATAATCAAAACACTGGAAGACCGTGCAAATCGGAACTGTGAAGCTCAGTTTCTCAGCACTGAACTCAACCATCTGAATTGGGCCCTACAGGCAAATGGCTACT